GAATATGACCTCATTTCTGAATAGAGTTGTTGTAGATGTAAGTAGCTAAGTTATAATATGATGAGATTATACTGAACTACGTAGAGTGGGTTCTTAATTCACCATGACTCATGTTCTTATAAGAAAAGAGAGAGACACATGGGGATGTTATGATGCAGAGGGGCAGAGGTTGGAGTGATACATCTACAAGCTGGGGAATGCCAAGGGTTGCCAGCAACCACCGGAAGCTGGCAGAGGCAAGCAAGGATTCTTCCCTAGAGCTTTTGGAGAGGACACACCGACACCTTGAGTTTGGACTTTTAGCCTCCAGATCTGAGACAATAAAATCTCTGTTGTTCTGAGCCACCCAATTTGTTGTGCTTTGTTATGGCAGCCCTAGGAAACTAATATACGGCATGATTCCTGAATGTTTGAAGGACTTGCTGGTTTTATAAAGGGTGATCGGAAGCGGATTGGGACTAGACAAGCATGGCAATAGGGAACCAGATGTAGAGGAAATGGGAGAGATTTTTAAAGGCATCCTGGAATTTCTGGGAGAGAGGAAGGTATTTAGAGAGAATTTTGGCATGCTTTCTGTGCAAAGACCCTAAGAAGGCCCTGTTAAGAAAACTTATGGCAGATGTCTTAATTATTACTCAAGGTGTCAAGAGTGTGACTTGTGTTTCCCTTGACTGTGTCTCCATGATAGTCTGAGCCATGCGGAGTCCTTGGATTTAATCAGGTTACACTACAGAAGCTCCATGCTATTGCATTTCTCTTTGCTTTGGTGTTGGTTATAATCCCCTTATTCTAGTAATGTTGGCAGTCTTTTGAAACTCATGTCAGTATCATCTTTTTGGAGAACCAGGAACTTCTTTTATGGTTGTCTGGTACAAACAGGTGGTCAGTAAGCGTTTGTCAGATTGATAAATGGAGGAGAAGAGTGTCTAGCCACCCAGGGTAGGTAAGGTGCTCCTCATTTCCCTTTCTTGTTCTTACCTCCAGTAGGGTACCTATTACATGGCATTCTAGCTGCTTATTCACTTGTTTGCTCTCTTGTATTCTGTAATCTTACTGAGGACAGAGAATGTCTCATTTGAGTTTTTTCTTTGTGAGACAGAGTCTCACTCTATCACCCAGGCTGGAGTACAGTGGCGCAATCTCAGCTCACTGCAACCTCTGCCTCCCAGGTTCAAGTGATTCTCCTGCATTAGCCTCCTGAGTAGCTGGGATTACAGGCATGCGCCACCACGCCTGGCTAATTTTTTGTATTTTTTTTTTTTTTTTTAGTAGAAGTGAGATTTCACCGTGTTAGCTAGCATGGTTTCGACCTCCTGACCTCGTGATCCACCTGCCTAGGCCTCCCAAAGTGCTGGGACTACTGGCGTGAGCCACCGCGCCTGGCCTTGAGTTTTTATCTCTAATGGCTAGCAGAGTAGTTGCTACGTAGTATATGTTAACGTTTCCTCAGCAAATAATTAATGAGTGAACAGGGCTGGGAGAATTTTGGCATGCTTTCTGTTCAAAGCCCCTAAGGAGGCTCTGTTAAGAAAACCTATAGCAGATGTCTTGCTTATTACTCAAAGTGTTGAGTGTGACTTGTGTTTCCCTGGACTGTCTCCACGCATAGGCTGTGCCACTTGGAGCCCTTGGATTTAATTACCCTTATTTCATTGAGGAAGCCCAGAGAGGGAAGAAAGGCAACTTGCTGAACAGAGCTAGTTACTCAACTTCCTGGTGCTTCTGTCTAGTCCTTGACATGACCGTGGCTGATCCGTCACATCAACTTGGCAATTCCACATAATGTTCTCGCTCCCAATATTCTAGTTCAGTGTTCTTTTTTTTTTTTTTTTTGAGACGGAGTCTCGCTCTGTTACCCAGGCTGGAGTGAGTGCAGTGGCCGGATCTCAGCTCACTGCAAGCTCCGCCTCCCAGGTTTACACCATTCTCCTGCCTCAGCCTCTGGAGTAGCTGGGACTACAGGTGCCCGCCACCTCGCCCGGCTAGTCTTTTTGTATTTATTTAGTAGAGACGGGGTTTCACCGTGTTAGCCAGGATGGTCTCGATCTCCTGATGTCATGATCCGCCCGTCTCGGCCTCCCAAAGTGCTGGGATTACAGGCTTGAGCCACTGCGCCCGGCCTTTTTTTTTTTTTTTTTTTTTAAGATGGAAGCTCACTCTGTCACCCAGGCTGGAGTGCAGTGGCGCAATCTCGGCTCACTGCAACCTCTGCCTCCCAGGTTCATGCAATTCTCCTGTCTCAGCCTCTGGAGTAGCTGGGACTACAGGCACCCGCCACCATGCCTGGCTAGTTTTTGTATTTTTAGTAGAGATGAGGTTTCACCATGTTGGACCAGGCTGGTCTCAAACTCCTGACCTCAGGTCATCTACCCACCTCAGCCTCCCCAAATTCTGGGATTACAGGCATGAGCCACTGCGCCTGGCCTAGCTCAGTGTTCTTGACCATCTTTTTCCTTTCTTGGAATATAGCCGAGCCCCGAGGGAGCTGGGTTCTGGAAGGGAAGGGTAGGAAACTCACTGCCATGCCTTCCTGTGTGGGCTGATGCATCAGGAAGGTGGTGGGGAAGAAAGAGAAAAGCACTATGCTCAGGAGAAAGCTTTGCAATTTGCGCCATAATAACCTTATAAAGTAGGTACTATTGTTATCTCTTTTTATAGACAAAGAACCTGAGGCTCAGAGGGTAAGTGGCTTGCTCAAGCATAGCTTAATTCATTTCAAGAAAGAGCCTCAAACTGAGGTCTGCTGGACCCAAGATGCTGCCCTTGGCCCTGAGCACAGCTCCTCGATGCCTCCTGCGTGCCATGCTCTGAGGCCTGGGCTGCTGAAGGAAATGCACCATACACGGGAGCTGTTACTGTGGGCCACTGTAAGACAGCAGAGCCCAGCATAGGCTGGGATTGTGGTCAAGGAGGCAGTCAAGGTCAGAGCCAGATGAGCTGCTCTGACATCGTATCCAAAGAGTGAGCAGCAAGAAGCGAGGCCAGGTGGCCCCTGCAGAGCATGAGGCAGAAAGTGGGCTGCAGAGAGTCAGGATGAGCCGTTTGTGATCAGGACCATGATCAGCGGGATGGGGCCCTGCTATGTGTGTGGGGAGCTGGCTCTGCCTGGAACCACATATGTGGTCCCTACCCCCTAGAGCAGGAACAAGGAAATAGCCTGCCTTCGTTCAGGGGCCTTTTGGAGCTAGGTCAGATCTAGCTTAGGGGAGAATTGCTGCTGCCCGTGTGCATTCCTGGATCCCTGAAGGAACCTGTGCTGGGGCACAAGGACCAGAAAGGATGAGCCAGGTATCTTGGGGACAGTCAAAAAGACATCAGTTTCCAGCTCTGCCACTTAGGAGCTATGTGTTCTGGGGCCAATTACTTAACCTCTGTGTGGCTCAGCCTCTTCATCAGTACCCACAGGTACCTAGTACCTGCTTCTCAGGCTTGTGAATGACATAGGAATGAAAAGCATCTAGCACTTATACCTGGAAAACAGGCACTCAATTCACAATAGCTGTCTTATTATTCTTGTCACTATTAATGTCATTAAGTCATTGTAAGGCCTGCGCTCACAAGAACAGGTAATGCAGTGGAAAGGGCATGGATTCTCTCTCTAGTCAGGACCTCCCAACACCCCCCTTCTTCTATAAAAGCTTGACCCACCAGTGTGGCTGGGAAGGCCACCTTCTGGATCTGAGCCCAGTGTACTGAGCCCAGTGTATCCCTCTGTAAAATGGGGACAATGGTGCCTGATTTGCAGGGTCATGAGAGAAGGGATGCAAACGCCAGCCCAGGGCCCTGCATACAGTGGGTGCTTACTGGTGAGTTCCTGATCCTGGAGAGCTCACAGGAAGGTCCCGGCTCCTCCTGTGCACATAATCAGGGGCTTTCTAGGTCAGGGCTGTCAATAGGGATCAGGCTGGCTTGAAAAGTGGTTTGGGTGGGGGCTCTCAGGCCTTTTCCCAGGAGTCAGATTGGAGGCGAGGGAAGAGATGGGGGAGGATGAGCCCCCGGCAGGGCTGAGGGTGGGCAAATGGGGGTGTGAAGTGGAAGTACTGCTGGAGATGAGAGATGGGCAACTGGGGACTGGGGATTGGGATGAAGGAGTGTCAGAGGTGGCTGACCAGAGACCCGGCAGGGGACCCTCCCCGGGGTGGAAGTCTGCTCCCCGGAGGCCTCACTGGGCAGCCTCTCTGCTTCTCCAGCAGCCGACCTGAGGGCCCCTTGGAGCAGTCTTCCCCCCTGGAGAGGGTGGGAGACGGACTTCTTGCAGCCCTGGAGACAAGACAGGGAGGCTCAAGGCCCGGAGAGGAAGCCCAGGGCCCTTAGAGAGATGAGTCTTGCTCATCCATGGCCCGGCCGAGGCCCTGAGGCCCACAAGCTGAGGTTCAGTGGTGTGGACTATGGGGTACGTGCCTCTCCAGGGAGCCCAGCGTCCAGAATTCGTGTTCCCATGCTTTCCAGACTTAAAGGCCTTTGTTTTCTCTTAATGTTCTAATAAAGCTCATTCTGAAAAATCTTGACCTTCTCTGCTGCACCAAGAGAAAGGAATTTGTGGTCACCCCTGCCAGGAAAGCTTAGGGGATCAGAAGGGGGAGGGAGACTGGCTCCACTCCTGTCCAGACCCGGTGCTGGGCTTGCACACTCCACCAGCTCAGTCCTCCAGCCCTCTTGCCCACTCCAAGAGGGAGGATCCCTAAAATCCCCATTCTACAGATGAGGGGACTGAAGCTGGAGTGGCGAGGTCACTTGCCAGGTTGCTGACTGTAGGGGAGGAGCTGGATCTGAGCAGAAGAGGAGGGCCAGGCTGAGGAGGGAGGCAAAGTCAGGGCTTGGGCGAGCCAGAAACAACTGCGAGAGCTGGCTACCCTTTTTTACTGGGGGATCCCCCTTCTCTTCTGATGGGGACAAACCCGCTAGTTCTCAGACATCCCTATTAACAACAACAGCAAAAAAGCATGGCACCAGCAAGCAGTGCAGCTAACATGAAAATGGAATGCTGTGTGCCAGGCCCTGGGCTCAGTACTGTGCTTGCGTCATCCCCGTTAACCCTCACACTTGCTTTCTTAGCCCTTTTTACGGATGAGGAATCCGAGACTTCTAGGGATCATGACATTCCTGATCATTGGCAGAGGGAGGTTGTGAGCTCTGGTGCACGATCCCACACTGTTTGCGGGATGACTCCTTGCTTCTACTAACGGGTGTCACCTGGACTGACCTTGCTCTTCGCCAAATACCCTGCCTTCCTCATTACCACCCTCTTCACCTGGAGCCAACGCAGCGGTTCCCTGCCTCTGCGTCAGAGACCTACTTCTAGGTAAGGTCCAGCCACTGCTCTGTCTCTAGCCAAGGGGCGCCAGAACCTGACCCAAGCACATGGAGCTGGACTTGTTATGGCTGAACCAGAACAGAAAGATGAAAGGGTCTGCCCTTGCTGTGCCGGTACCAGTGTGGCTGGCTGGGTCCAGCCACTGATGCATTAATGGCTGGGCAGGGATGCTTCCTAAGGGCTCTCACAGCTGAGAGTCCTAGGGATCCAGCGCCTGATGAATGCCTGGGCCAGACCTGACCCAGAGAAGGGTGCATGCCCTGAGGCCTGGCGACCTCTGGTGTCCTATTGGGATGGCGGTTCACACTGTCTCAGCTGCTGAAATGGTGACTGGGAACTGGCTCAAGCGTGAACTGATGCTTGACTGGGTTCAAGGCCTGCAACCTCTCTCTCCGTCTGGCCTTCCTAGAGGCTGCTCGAGGGATTTTCTGGAAAGGAAGCCACTTCCCCGCAGTGAGCAGGGTCTGCATCCCTCCCGTCTGTCTCTCCCACCAGGCTCTGAGGGGGCAAGTCCTTCATTCAGTGTTAATTGAGCGCTTGCCATGTATCTAGTCCCGTGATGACAGAGATGGGTGAGAGAGGCATGGTCCCTGCCCTGGAGATGCTACCGGAGGCAGGGAAGGAGGATCTGTGATGCCCTGGGCAGCAGGGTACACAGTCAGCCTTACGGATTGTGGGTTGGGGGTTGTGCATTCCTGAGGAGCGTAGGCTCTGGAGCCTGACTCCTGACTTTGACTCCTCACTCCATCCTGTATGAAACATGAGGCCTTGGGCCGGTGACCTGTCCCTCAGTTTCCTCATCTGTGAAATGGGATAATAAAGGTGCTAACCTTAGAGGGTTATTGTGAAGATGAAATGAGTTTATGTGGCCGAAGTGCTTAGAACCATGTGGCACAGTGCGAGCATGCAGTAAATGTTATTGATGGTGATTTAATTGTTCCCTGTGAGATTTTTGTTTCTTTGGCTAGGTTCTGTGTTTTTGGAGGACCTGGGTAGTTGTACTCCTGTTTGTCTTCCCAGGTCGCAGGTGCATGGCAAGTACATTTGGAAACTCACTTATTGCTATTGAGGCATCTTTGACTCCCTCCCTGTCCCTCACTCCCTACATCATTCAGTTGCATTCAGTTACCAGGTCCCAGAGATTCCAACTTCCTGACCTTCCTGGTGTCTATTCTGACTGTCCCTTCTATCTGTCGTCTCTGTCCTGGATCCCTGTGCAGCTTGCTAATGGGTCTCCCCGCTGCTGGACTAAAAGACTCCACAAACTACTCTAAGGGGCAGTCAGAGTGACAAGCCTTCGAAGGTGACCTGTGGTGCCACTCTCCTGCTTAACACCACCACAGTCACTGGCTCCCCATTGCCCTTAGGACAGAGGCTACACTTTCACCTCTGTATCATCTAAGATGGGCCCTCTTGCTGTCCTCTCCAGCTCCGTGTCTGGGGACCCCCATATCCTACTGCTCACTCCTCCAGCCTTCCCCTGGCCCTTGCAGTCTTGACTTTTTGAGACGGGGTTGTCTTGCTCTGTACCCAGGCTGGAGTGCAGTGGTGCGATCTTGGCTCACTGCAACCTCTGCCTCCTATGTCCAAGCAATTCTCCTGTCTCAGCCACCTGAGTAGCTGGGACTACAGGTGGGCACGACCACACCTGGCTAATTTTTATGTTTTTGGTAGAGACGGGGTTTCACTATATTGGCCAGGCTAGTCTTGAACTCCTGACCTCAGGTGATCTGCCTGCCTTGGCCTCCCAAAGTAGCTGGGATTACAGGCGTGAGCCACTGCACCCGGCCTTTCTTCTTGCTTATGTGCCTTTGTATTTGACCCTCCTTCCCCGCCACTCTTCCTTTTGCCTAGGGTTCACTGCTTACTAACTCTCACCTCCCAAACTGCTGGGATTACAGGCATGAGCTACTGTGCCGGGTCTTTCTTCTTGCCTCTGTGCCTTTGCATTTAACCCTTCTCCCCCGCCACCCTTCCTTTTGCCCGGGGTGCACTGCTCACTGACTCCCACCCTCTCCATGAACAGTGTGGGCATTGCTGACTCCAGCCTGACTTTGATCCTCACTCCAGGCTGGTTAGATAACCCTCCCCTGGGCCTCAGAGCACTCTGAGTGTACAAAGCGCACATTCATTCATTCATTCCACAGGACACCTCCCCTGTACCAGGCACTATTCTAGCTGCTGCAGATCGAGTAGTAAACAAAGCAGCAGAAAATCCCTGCCTTGGGAAACGTGTGTATTCCACCAAACTGCCCATGATCCTTGAGAGTGGGTCTGCGTCTCACTAGTGGTGTGCTCCTGGAGGGCAGGCAGGGCTAGCGGCTCTTTGACTTTGTGTCCTTAGTATTATGCATTGGGTGTCCATAAATGGATACTTGATGGGTTTCAGGTGTTATGCTCGGTGCTGGGGGGAAACAGTAGCAAACATGACAGGGAGGGGATATAATCTAGGGATATGAGAGCAGCACATGTGGTGGTGTGGAGTGCAGGTGTGTGTGTTTGGGTCCTGAATCTGCGACTTACTAGCTATGTGACCTTGAGCAAGCTACTTAACCTCTCTGTGCTTCGGTTTCCCCATCTGAGAGAGAGAATGACAATACAGACTATCTGATCGTGTTGTCAGGAAGGTTAAAAGTATTAATATCTGTGAAGCTCTTAGAACAATGCCTGGCGCATAGTGAACACTTTATATAAAAATATTTGTTAAACAAATGAATAGCAATCACACAGACTCTGAACATAGCCTTAAATTCAAATCCTGCCTCTGCCAGGTTGTAGCCATGTGTAACATAGGCAGGTCATGGAATCAAGCTGAACCTCAGTTTCTTGATCTGTGAACTGGAGATAATACTTCTCTTAAAGAGATTACATCTCCTGGGCCTCCAGGAGCCCACAGACATATAGTGCTTGGCACCAGGTAAGGGCTTTGCAACACATCTCTTCTCACGAGGAAAAACGGGATCCTGCCCTTGAGGGGTTCATGGTTCCCGAGGGAGGATGAAAACACTAGTCCCTGCTCACCGCTCAGACGCCACCTCCTCCATGAAGCCTCCCTTGAATCCAACGGTTTCTCCCTCTTTTGGACTCCCATAAACATTTGTCTCCCTGTACCTCTGATGGGCTTTAGCTCTAAATTCCAGTTCTGAAACTGACCAGCCATGTGGCACTGGACAATCATTTCCCTTCTCTGAGTCTTAGGTTTTTATTTTTAAAAATTCTGTGAGGGGAGATAGAGTTCACCTTCAACAGAGCATCACGTTGGAATCAAGCAAGACAGTGTCTACAAACAAAGCACCCAAATGTGCCTGGCGGTTAGTGATGTCCAATACAAGCCAATTCCCAATTTCTCATCTTCATCCTAGCATAGGCTCCTGACTGGCCTGTCAGTTCCCTGAAGAGTCCGATTTAACTCTGGATTTCCCTGAGGTGGCAGGTGAGACAGTCAGTGAATCAGTGAAGGGCTGCGGGAATGAGAGGTGAACCCACGAGTGCCTGTGTGTGGGGATGAGACATTTTCTGGGTCTGCTGTGGAGTGTTTCAAGCCTGTGCGGTCCCTCCTCCACAGCCCTCCCACCTTGGGGCCTTTGCACGAGATGGAATTTTCCTCCTTTCCCTCACTGCCTGTTTGGCCCTTGACTGATGTTTCTATCTCAGTTCCAGGGGCATTTGTGTAGGGAGGATTCCTTCAATGCCCATTCCCCACGCCCTCACTCTCACACCTACCCCAGGGGTAGGTCATAGTGCAAAGTCACTTTGAAGTTGCGATTTTACACTTCTTTGTGTGGTATTTTTCTTAATGGGTGCTATCCCCACCAGGCTGTAGACCCCTGGGAGCAGGCATGGTGCATTTTTGTATTCCCGGAGCTGAGCTCTGTGCCTGTCACAGAACAGGCCCTCGGTAGCAGTTTGTTGAAGCACTGCTTGGACTCTGAGTGGGAAGAAGCCAAGGCTCTTGGCGCTTCTGCACTCAGGTCCTTCCTCTTTGCCTGTCCAGTGGCCTGTCCTCAGTTCCTGGGAATACCAGACCCTAGCGTCCTCTGCTGCCCGCCAGGGTATGGGGCACGTGGGTAAGTGGAGGGAGAGGGTTTGCCCAGGCATACCTCTGTCACAATGGAGTCCTTGGTGCTGTTGTAGACCCAGCCATCCAGGCATGGCTCCATGGACCTCTGGGTGTCATTGGGCAGGCTGGCATTGGACGGATGTACAAAACGGAGGCACCTCTCAGGCTTCCCATTTGGGCCCATGGGGATCACCCAAGGCCCTGCGGAGGCATTGGGGGGCGGGCGGCAGTGGTGGACAGGGGTGGCGGCTGTGAAGATCTGCAGCAGGTTGTGGTTGGCCATGTTGAGGATCGGGAGGCCCAGTATGGCTACATGCAGGAACTGGAAACGGCCCATGCTTCCCACACGGTCCAGGATCTCCGAGAAGGTCATGGCACTGGGGCAATATGAGCCAGAGCTGTGGGCGAGGCATAGGCCCGGGAGAGGTCTGTGTGTGCCTGGTGGTGCGTGGGCCTATGGAACCATATGTGAGAGGGTGAACCAGGTGGCTATGCGAGCACAGGTGTGTGGAGCGGTGCGTGTGTGACTGTGTAAGGATGTGGAAGCTCAGGCGTGTGGAGCCGCAGATTCTTGTGCGGATGCCTGAGGAAGAACCCAGCTGCATGGAGGGCTATGGGATCAAAGGTGTAAGTGTGTGTCCAGGTGTGTGGACACAAAGGTATCTATAGGTATGTGCTCGTTTAGGCTGGAGCATAAGGACGCAGCTGTGTGAACTCGCGTGTGTGTTGCGTGTGTGTGCACCTGCGGGTACGAGCATGTGTGTGCTCAGCTAGGCTGGTCGCACATGCTGCATGCACAGAGCAGTGCAGGACACATAGCAGGGGCCAAGGGGCCTGGCCTTGGATGTTGGCTACAAAGGATGGATTGCGAGGTGGGTGGCAGATGTCCCCAGTTGCTCCAGGCAGATACACAGGGTTAGCAGAGTAC